GTTCTCAGCCTTTTGCTTTAGGATTTGTGCTTTCCTGCCTACACTGCGCTCTGAAACGTGGAGTTCTGATTTGTACCCTTTGATGTAGTGACCTCAATTTACTTTTCCCGGATGAACAGTCCACTGCCCAGCGGCTGGCTGCCGGGGCTCCCTGTGGAAGTATCACTCTGGAGTGCCACGGGGAGCGGTGTGATGTCACGGGAGCAGGACGCGGCCCAGAGCTGGGCCGGACACCTCGTTAAAAGCACTCAGGCTATCACCCCTATGGGCTGAGTTGGATCCCGGACAGGGAGTGACCCACAGGGCGCAGTAGACCTCGCCTGTCTCCCCGCTGTTTCCCTCAGCAGTGGATTTCAGTGGATCCGCCTGTTCTGCTCCCCACTCTGTGTCTGGGGAGTCCTCTCACCCCCGCATGTCTGGCCTGCACCCCGGTTTTCACATGCATGAATAGAAAATAAATCTTTAATTAAAAGCAAGCAAGAAAAGAAAATCCACCCTGAAGTTTCTGCTTTTCGTTTGATCCATGTGACGACTGTCCTTGCAAACACGCCCAAACCCCAGTTTGCAGCAATCACAGCTCAGGGCGCGGCTCGAAAAAGCAGCGAAAACACTTTTGTGCACTGGAAGGTGAATGGGGTCTGCTTACCGTAGGAAATCAGCAGCAGGAGGAAAGGAAAGCTTCGGAGCAGGCTCCTCATCGACTGCTTATAGGAGAACTCTTCGGGGGGGCTGTCTTGCAGAGCCGCCTGGGCCTGACTTGGGGGGTACCGTGGTTTCTCCTTGAAGGCTGGGAACAAACAGGGCATGATAACAAACACTTTCCTCAGCGGCCAGACTCCACTCGGGGCAAGCTCAGAGGCCAGTCAAAACCCCAAACACAGGCCCGGCCAGACGCCACAGCGTGCTCACTGGTTATTCCGTTTTTAAGGAAGGTTAAATTTTACTATTTTGACTGGATTAAAAGGCGACACACACACACACACACACACACACACACACACGATGGAATATTACTCAGCCATCAAAAATACTGGAATATTACTCAGGCCTTTGGCAACAACATGGATGGAGCTGGAAGGGATCCTGCTTAGTGAAATACGCCAGAAAGGAAAGGAAAAATACAGATGGTGTCACTCATAGCAGGAACATAAAGGACCAGGGGAGATAATAATAATGATGATGAACTATATACCAGAGACATTTTACGGGGGTGGAGTGGAAAGTGGGATTAAAAATGGGAAGGGGGGCCATGCACTGGATTGTGGTGATGGCACACGGGTGACTGGGTGATGGGAAGCCCACAGGGATCGTACTGAGATGGAAAAAGGCACAAAATGATGTAAAAACAAACATTTCTTTAAAAAAAATGTATCATCTTAAGTACTCGGCAATTCCCTCGATTGCATCTGGTTGTCCCAGAGACACCAGGTATGAGCAAGTAAATACAGCATTACCGAACTGTTAGAAGACTGTCCAGTTTCTGCTGAAGTTGGATAGAAAGAACCGGCCTGCACGGACCCACGGACACCTTCAGAAATGAGCAGGGAGGTGCAGGGATGCTTGAAAGCGAGAGGGGTCTCTCCAGCTGACGCTCGCTAACTACATGGGGGGCTCCCGGGGGCAGCGCTGGGATATAAAAGTGGGGTACAGGGTTCCTGAGACCCTAAACCCCAGCACTGCCATCTCGTCTGACCCTGGCACTCAGCTATCTGGCAGGTTCTACAGGGAGCGTCCAGCCGGCCTAGGCATCTCCAGAAGGGACGCACTGAATGTCGCTGTGCAGTGGTAAGCACAGAATACGAAATCTGCAAGAGCAAGACACAGAGCTGATAACTGCAGGCGCCGACCTGCACTGCAGCCATTCACAGCCGACACACGGCATCGCTTCTCTCAGACACCGCCACGCTCAAAGTGCTTCAGATGCGGACATTTCGCGAAAAAGCGAACACCTCAGAATCAAACTGCAGAACCGAAAAAATGGACTCAGAGAAAGGTAGCATTTTCTAAAAGATGACGATTTGTTTTCTCTCTCTCCCACAGTGGCTATTTTTCCTTCTTCCAGGATGGATGCTCTCCTTTCTGTGTCTCTGGGGAATCCTCTCACCCCCCACCCCCCACGCCTCTGGCCTACACCCCAGTTCTTGCCTGCTTAAATAAATAAAAGTAAATCTTAAAAATAAAAACAAGTGGTGGGAAACCCACGGGGATTACAATTGAGATGGGGGGAAAAAATGTACACAATGATGTAAAAATAAACTATTATATTATAAAAAAAATAAATAAAGACTCACACCCCCGTCAGGTGTTCAGCTTCTAATTCTTCTGCTTGCAGCTAAAAATTAGAAAAATAAATAAAGTTCTTTGCTGACCAAAACACTGATCGGTTACAAGTCAGACAGACGTCAGCGCTGACATGACTCACGGGCATTTATTTTTAAGGCCCTTACGTTGCAGGCCTGCTGAGCAGAAACGATTTAAGTTGCTGCAATTCCTCGTCTTCCTTACACCCTACCTGCTCCTGCCCTGCAGGCGAAGGCTCTGGTCCTTTCCTGATCGTTTCTGCGTCCTAGTGAAGATAGGATACCTCTTTTTATTAATATTAAGAGCTCCACGGCCTTCAGTGAGTGTCTGAGCGTCCGGGCCGGCCTGTCCAGGGGGCCGTGGTGTCTAGCGACTCCTAAGCCTCGTGACTGACTGGGTGAACCGCGATGATGCAGAAATGAACACAAATGCCAGATGGAAACACAGACAGACTCACGGGCAGGCTGACCCGGGCCCCAGCTCACAGCCCCTTTCTCCTCATCAGACGGAAAGAGGAAGCAGGAGCTGTTCCATGTAGGCCCAGGAGTTTTCTGACTAAGTGTCACACGAGCCACACGGCCTTTCTGAAGAAAGCTTTTGCGTACAAGCAACTCTGCTGGGATTGGATTAGCTGAGTGGACTGTATTTCTGTGAAGTTTACAACAGCAGCCCAGCCCCCTGTCCTTGCAGGCACAATGAAGGTTAAATCTCAG